CTGTGATGAAGGACAGCTGTCAGTCATCCAGTGTTCAACTGTCAGGACTATAAACTCTCCCAGAGCGCTGGAGCATGGAGCTGCTGATGCAAAGTGGCTCAATGGAAATGCTGTGACTGTCCAATCGAGACCTAGATTATTCTGCGGTTGCTTCATATTGGAAATTCCTGAAATCATTTTGTTATGTGTTGACAAAAAATGTCATAACGTTAAGTCATAAATTATTTTTTAAAAGGTACATCAAACATTCAGTATTATCAAGTAAAATATTTATCCCCATGACAACAAACCATCATTATAGTTTTTGTTTTGCATATTTTGACTGGTATTTTGGTAATTCATCTTTAGAAAGCCTTCTTGGCATCACCTTCATCTTTAGTTCCTTCTCCAAGTTCACAATTCTTCAAGTCCAGGCTCCAGCTTGGCCTCTCCAGAATGTTAATATTACGTCAAGTTATAAGAAACATTCTTGTGAAATTAAAGTCTACTGTAAACATAATGTAAACATCCAATTATACTAATAATCTGATATTTTCTTCCTCTGTCAACAGTCAAGGTTTGTGCAAGACGGCTCAATAAGTTTGTATCACATGATCGGAAGACAGGCTGTAATAACTCTTATTGATAAACCATTTTCACTTAGTGATGGAACAGCAAACACTACAGCAGCTTTGTTGTTATTTCTATGCATTAAACGTCATATTAATGAAGTTTAATGTATTTTGTTTTGCATGTATTTTGTGCCTAACAAATGTTTTAAAAGTTGCCATGAAGCACTTTGTGATTTGTAAAATGTGCTATATAAATAAAGTCCACTTACTTATACTTGATTTCTTATTTAATAATAAATGTGTACACTAAGAAAATGCAGTCAGAGCCAAATTATAAAACAGTATATTTTAAGAATGTAACCTTGCATTATGAAGAACATTGTATAGGTAGAGACTGAACATAACCTTTGGTTGTTAATTTGTTCATGTTTCCAATGTGCTCTGTGCGAAACTGCTAACTTTAGCCCTGAAACCTGTCTGCTGCCATGGTTCGTTAGTGATGCATGTCTGTTTCCGTGTCCAAGAAGTTTGAAGAGAGAAGTGAAACTCTGCATTTTATTAACCAACAGCTTCCTGTGAAGTCTTTTTTTGTTTTGTTTTAAAACATTTTTTCATTTTGTCTCTTCACTGACTTCTATTGAGTCTTGCTTTTTACATCGTTTTGTTTCTACCGTTGCCTTTTTATTACAAAGTATTTGTGCATCCTGCAAAAAACAAAGCAAATTGTTTTGTTTTGAACAATGGTTTAACTTCTGTCATAAATGGGACTCTGCAAAAAAAAAAATGCAAAAAATGTTTGCATGTCCAAATCATATGATGGATCCAACATGGCTTGGGAAAACTTAAAGACCAACGGCTGACAGTCAGGTATTCATGTTTGGATTTCCCAAAAAGGGGCCATTTCAAGATGTTATGAGCAAATATTTCAACTGTGTAGATAATTTTCTTAGTAATTTTATTTTGGGTAAATGAATCTCGCAAAGCAGAATTGCAACCGGACTGGAAAAAATAAAAAATAAAAAAAACCTATTGATACGAAATGTAATTTTACAAAAGTGATTTAGTTTTTCTCTAAAATATCAATATTATTATTGCATCAGCAGGTTATTCTGGCTTAATTTTTACTGTTCCATAATACTCTTTCACACATTCATAAAAAGAGCGCTAGGGTGCCCAAGTCTAATTTTCTAACCCTTCAGGTTTTACATGTTTTCTTTCTCCAACGCAACAGAAACAAATGGCTGAATTGCTCTTCAGTAGTTTATGACCTCTCTCTGCAGAGGCCTGCTCACAAACCATTCATTTGATTGAGAAGTGGGGGAAACTGGATCTTCACATTCTGCAACTCCAGGAATTGAATATTTTATCAGAAGCCTTAAGAAGAAGGAAGTTAATAATCTATTAACCTTTTTATTGCAACTTCAGTTACACAAGACCCTTCAGTGTACAGGAAGATCTTTTTATAGTGCTCACTGTACAGACAGGATGCCTATTTCCATTGGCTAGACATTTTTGGGCTGATGGTGCCCTCTTGTGGTGCACTGCCCTGAGCAGAAAGCTAACCATAAGAAAAAAATGTACGTGTACAGTAAAGTATTTCTCCTATCTATGAAACATATGCTTGTTCTGTCAGTATTGCAGGTTTTTCGGCACTGGATGTGGTTAAACATGCTCTTATAAATGAGTTGATTTTGCTTCTGCTTGGCTGAAATAGATTCATAGGTATGAATTGTTTTCAGTTCACACTATATTGCTTGAGGTTCTTCCTAAACTGAACACAGTTATCATAATTCATATTCATTGTTTCAGCTTAATACTACAGAAAAAAGTCTGTGCATTATTAGAAGATGGCATATAGCTTCTCTTCTTTTTTTTCTTCTTTTTTTAGTTATAGAGACAATGATGTTACGTTTAGCACTCCATAGTTACATTATTTTCTTCCGATTAAAACAGTTTGTTCTTGATTTAGTGGTACTTGAAGTGATATTCAGAAGTTTTCTTCAAGTAAGACAGCAATACTTTGCAATAATATAACTCTACTAATCTTGACAAGTACACTGTGATAAAACTACCAGACTATTTTTCTCCCAATGTTAATTAAACTTCCTATGCCCGTGGTCCCTACACGCGCACGTCTGCCCTCCCAACACAAGGGGCACTGTCAGGAAACGGCCGCACTAGAACACCGGAACCATTTCTAACTTTCATCCAAAGATTTTTCCGGACGTGTTTCTTGTACGGACCCGGCTTCTGCTTTGTTTACTTTTTATTTTATAGCCTCAAATCTACCAGCAGATCTCTTATTAGTAACATTTTCAAACCCCTAGCTCTCGTCTATGTCTCTCGTTTTTTCCTTTTATCTATGAACACGTATTTTAATGCCAGTATATATGAATTTTATTTTACCTTTTTGAACATACAGGCGCTTAGGAAGGTGCAGTCATGTCCGCTGAGCGACAAATGTTCCCGTCGCTGTTCTCTCCGCCGCCTTTCGCTGCAGTCGTAGCGGTAGAAAGTGGCGTGGAGCCTGTGGGCATTCCCCAGTCAGAGGTGGAAACATTCAGGATGTTCCTGAACGAGCGGCTGACGGCAGCAGTGGAGGACATTCTGAGCGTGTTCGGGAAGACGGTGGCTCGGTACCAGGAGCAGATAAGCTGCCAGCAGCGGGAGCTGGACAGCCTGAGGTCCGGGGAGCGAGAGTGGAGCCGGGCAGCAGGTTGGTTTGTGTGAACTGGAGAAAATAGTTACTGCTTTTTAATATCAAAAATGCTAAAAAATGACATTCAATAACCTTTTACTCTTAAATGCGAATGTTAGTTTAATTTTGAAAACATTGTTTCTTTATATATATTTTTTGACAGCGGTATTTATATAACCGTTCAAAACGTTTAAAAACACATCTAGTAAAAGGTATTTTTATGTGATAGACCAGCAGAAAGTAGGGCATATTTGTGATGCAGAAGGAAAATTAAGTTGTTTTCTATATTTCTGTGATTATGTGCGAGTCTAACCCAGGTTGTCCGAGTTGTAATCATGTTTTATGTGGCACTCACACCACAATTCAAGAACAGACAGATTTGATAGCTTGGGCCATATGTTTGGTGTTATCACATGAACACCAAACATGTAAAAAGAAAAGATGCAATTTGGGTGACAAATCATGAAAAAGTTAAATTGAAGCAAATACTTATTTTTTTTTCCAAGTAGAGAATATTTTGAAAGAAAATCTTGTGTGAAACATTTGGAAATATAAAAATAGTTTCCTGAAACTTGATGAAGCCGAACTAGCATGCTAACAGTTTATATATTTTTTATAAATATATTGATAAATGTCTTGTAAAGTGTCTAACATAAAGATTACTGTTGAATAAACTTTTTAATTGTTCTTAAGCCGGACCTGGTAGAAAGTGAGCTTTCTGTGGTTGTTTCATCTTTTAGAGCCCCTACAGGACTCATCCTGGATGAAGAAATGTCCTGAACACCAGACCCTTGATGCCCCACTGTTTCATACTGACAATCTTATTGAGAAAGTCGTCGACACCTCAGCTGCTCCGATTAAATCAGAAGGTGTGGATGAGGATTGTGGAGAGTCGACAACATGTCATCACCCCAGTTTAACACACCAGCTGGATCCAGAAGCAGCGAGCGATGAGCGAGTTATCTGTGAGGACTCTGACACGGAGAACAGCGAGGACGGCTGGAGAGACGATGCCACTTTGTGGAAGTCAGAGGAAATGGCAGAAAACAAAGATCCCAGCTCCAGTTCAGAACCTCAGGGCTCCACTGATCTGCCACAGTTTGGCTGCCAGGTTTGTGGCATCACCTTCCAGAAGATGGGCTACCTGATCACCCACGCTGCAGTGCATCAGGAAACCTGTGGAGTTTGTGGAAAACAGATGGAACAAACGGAAAGCCTCAAGCTTCACCTGAAAGCTCACCGAGAAACGACGTTCCGCTGCAGCGTCTGTGGGCAGAGCTTCACGCTGCGGGGGAACCTCCGCATCCACATGAAGATCCACTCGGGCGAACGGCCGCACAGCTGCAGCATCTGCAGCAAGAGCTTTGGCCGGCGGGCGTCGCTGGTGCGCCACGTGCGCAGCCACATGGGCGAGAAGCCGTTCGCCTGCATGTACTGCGGCCACAGCTTCACGGAGAAGGGCAACCTGACGGTCCACCTGCGGACGCACACAGGAGAGAGGCCGTACCGGTGCTCCAGGTGCGCCCGCAGCTTCAGCCAGCTGTCCAGCTTCTATAAACACCCGTGTCAGAAGAAAGGCCTGATCTGTGCCGCCATCACTACCACCTGACAGCTGGGACACGTGAGCGGCTGTAGAAGGGCTTCCCCTGTGAAACAGAGCAAAGTAATGGACACTTTTATCAAAGTAACATTTCATCAGAGTTTGTTGATGACTAGAAACTTTTTTTTTATTCTCTCCGTTTCAAATCAGTCATTTTATCTTAATTTTAGGAATTTTTTGTCTTCAAAACCATGGGATTAATATACATAAATATTTAAATCCATAACTTTTTGAACACCTGTCGAAGCACTAACTGAGCCTTGCTCTTTGTAATTACAGATATTTTTTGTTTGGTTCATTAGATCAGAAATATTGAAGAAAAACACTTCATTCACTTTTCTCCAGCTTTATCTTAAACAATAAAACAATAAACTTTGAAAAATTGTAAAAAAAAATAAAATAAAAAAAAGTGGGCATAATAGAATTAAATGCCACATTAAAACATCTTGAAAAATTCTACTGAAAAAACCCAAATCTGTTCCAAATAAATGCAGTAGGTGCAATAAACAATTTTCATGCAGCTGCACACCCTTAGATTAATACTACGTACATTTTCATTTAATTCCAGCATTTAGTTTTCTTTGGCAGAAGTCATAACTTCATGCCCACATCTTGGCTCGGTAATGTAGTATTCCCAAACACTTCCTGCCTAAATTGTCCAACTCTATCAGCTCGAGAGGACTTCTCTGTCCATGTCCCTCTTCAGATGTTCTCAAAATTGATGGCTGTTCCTATATGGGCAACCACCTAGGGCGGCATCTTGTGGGGGCGGCTTGAGACTGCCCCATACCCCCAAAACCCAGTCTTACAATTGTCAGCAGTTTATTACGTCCTTGTTTTATTGTTGTTATTTTGGATCTTGTTCCCACTAACATTTATTCTTAGCTGTGTAAAATGTTTGGACATGATTCATAATGGTCTCAGTTGTTTAAACACTCAAAATACTGGAGTATCTATAGTGATGTGAAAGACTTTTAAGAGACCATCATACAAGTTTATTCTTTTTTTAGTACTCTACCTCAGTTTTTACTTATTGTTGGAATGTGTGTTATGTGAAAAAGATGTGTCTTATAAAAATATGGGACCATTTAAAATGAAGGGTTTGTGGTGAATTGGCTCAACCGTCAATTTTTGTTGCAAGTTTTCTAATCAGGTTCTGTCTTTACACGTGGCTCTGTCATTGGAAATATTTTGTTGGAAAAGACATTTGCAGTTCTCTTCGGTAAGATGAAGATGAAGACTTTTCTTATTTTTATACCGATTCTAATTTCTTATGCCCTTGACTAAAGTTAGCACAATTTGTCTGGATAAAAGTTGAGACTTTTGTTGTGTGGAAGATTACAATAAATATATGTTTGTAGGAAGAAAACCAAAGCTTCATTAAATAAACTAAGATTTGTCAGAAACTGTTTTTTGATTTTTTTCAGATTGTTTTGGATTATTGCAGCCAGTGTTATATTTTTATATACCTTAGTACAGCTTACACCTTTGAGATGAGATCACTTAATGCAACTGTATTAGTTATTTGTTGTAATGTTAAGTCAGAGTTTTGAGAATTCAAATTTTGTTGTAAAAAATGTAAAAGCAACATTATTTGACATAAGTAGAACATTATGAGCTGAAAATAGAGCAAAGCGAAGCAACTCTTTGGTTTCTATCTGCACTTGAGAAGCAGTAGGTAGGAACCTACCTGCTGCTGATACAGTTTCCAGACTATAGGTAATGATCTGAATATGTAGACAGATTTGGATTGGATTGCTAATTAGACTGTAAAATAGAAAATTAAAACAAATGACTTTTTTTCTCGGATTTAATGTAGGTCTTATTTTCAAAAGAAAACTTGTATTTCTTTACAAAGAAATTAAAATGGGAAAAAAATATAATTTGCCAAATAAAATAGAAGAAATTTTGTAAAATCATGTGTGAAGCCTCAATTTTAACACAGCATAGTAACATGTGGGACATAGAACATTTTACCAGAAATATAAAAGTATTGATTATTATCAAATGTAAATCACTATATTGAATCAATATTCAATTATAGTAATATAGAGGAATTAAAATATGTGAACATTTTAATTTAAAAAATGTAGAAAACCAATTGGAATTTTTTTGTCAAACATACCTTAGCAATTTTAAATGGAAAAAAAGGAAGCAAAAATAAATGTCAACAGTATAAATACGAAGAAATAATTTTTAAAAAGTTTTATTTTTCTATTGTTGAAAATAGACGTCATGATAAAACATTTGCGTCAATGTTAAATTGTAAACAACATGAATCTTATTTAAAACTTGTATTGAGCCTTCCTCACCAGGTGGGGGCGCTAGAGGGCTTTCACTGGATTTCTTCGGACCCCTCACAGAAGTTAACCTGGAGCCGTAGCTGGTACACAAGTCACCGGATCGCCACAGTTTTTTATCCGGCATTTGATCCGATTTCTCCTGGTTAAGAATCCTCTCAAGTTACCGCTGAAATGTCGAAAATCGAGATGTTGCGGCTTCTGATCAACCAGCGGCTTACCGCGGCTGCAGAGGAGATTTTCGATGTGTTTGGGAGAACCATAGTGGAATATGAGAAGGAGATCTCCCGCTCCAAGCTGGAGATTGACCGCCAGCGCCGGCTGCTGGAGCTCTCCAGGAAGCCGCGGATCTCCCTGCAGGCCGACAGCTCAGGTAGGGAGACGCTTCACCGGACTTTGGGGTTTCTATCTGGAAATAACTGCAGCTCCGTCTCTGGCTTCATGAAAATGTTCGGAGAGTCAGGATCAGTTTCATTTGGCAACAACAGTTATTTATTACATCTTTCAGTTGAGCCCATATAAGCAAGTTGTTTTGCTCTAAACATCTTTCTATGGCTTCTTTGTCCATTTGTTTAAGACGAGAAATCTGAATTCAGTCTTTTAACTGAATAATCCTCAGTTATTCTGAAAATCATGTTGGAACTGCACAATTGCTTAAAAACATAATAAAGGAGTCTCTTTGATCTAATACAGTGCTTCTCAATCCCAGTCCTCAGCCCCCCTGCTCTGCTTGTTTTAGCTGATTCAAATGATTGCATCACCATCAGGTTCTGCAGAAGCCTGTTAATCACCACAGATTCAATCCAGGTGTGTGGCAGAAGGGAAGCGCCTAAAACATGCAGGGCAGGGGGCCTGAGGCCCGGGGCTGAGAAGCACTGATCTAATACAACCACAGAATAAAAGTGCAAGGACAGAGCAGAAGCAATATAAAAATCTATATATACACAGTAAAATCAGGTGAATATAGAAAGTACTCAAACAGTATTGTTTGAAATATAAATAAATTCCAGGTATAGGCGATAAACCTGGAGTGTATTTATTTATATTTCAAACAGTACTGTTTCAGTACTTTCTATATTCACCTGATTTTACTGTGTATATATAGATTTTTATATTGGTTCTGCTCTGTCCTTTATACTGCTGTAACAATGTAAATGTCCCCACTGTGGGATTAATAAAGGAATCTCTTATCTCTTATCTGTGACTCCAGCTGCAGACTACACTTGAATGGGCTTTACTTTACAATCCTTCCTTGCTTTACAGAAGCAAATTTTCCTTCCACTCAACCTTCTTAATAAACCTTATTAATGACACTGGTGACTTCTTTGCCATTGACTTTTTGTGCCTTACCCTGCCTGTAGAAGGTGTGAGTCTTGGTGTTTTTAAGTAAAAGTAATCAGATCCCCTATTACTTTGTCAAGCAAGAATGTAACATTTCTGTTTTTCATTGTCATTTGTCTAATTTTCCATAATTATCAAAATGAGCAGAATTAAAAGGTTGAAACATAGTTCTCTCTGTTGTTTTGTCAGATGATGATGAAGCTGAGCACTTTATGGTCTAACAATAAAAACATGCTGACTTTGCTTTGGTTGTGCTCTGCAGCCGCCTCCGAGAAGCAGGACTGGAGCTCCAGCGTACAGCTCAACGAAGAGGAACCGCCGAGTCGCATCAAAGAGGAGGATGTGTGGCCAGACCCACCGGGCGAGAACAACGTGGGTTTTCTGTTGTTCCAGAACAACTCGGCAAGAACGCAACAGGACAACGACTCCACCGGGTCTCTGGGCTCAAAGTTCTGCCAGGACCTGGACGAGCCGGACGTCGATCCGCAGCCTGGTACCTCAGTCCAACAGAACTGCTCTGAGCTCAAGGATGATCAACCTGTAGCTGCAGGAAACAGCCAGCATGACTGCGTTGACATGACCCTCCCTAAAGTAGTGGACTCCTACGTCTGCACCATCTGCGGCCAAGCGTTTTACCAGCGCAGTCAGTGGGCCAAACACACGCGGATCCACCGAAAGGTTGACGGCAAAGGCGACAAATCGTTCACGTGCGACATTTGCGGGAAGAGACTGACGCGGTCGGACGGCTACCAGAAACACCTGCGGGTCCATACGGGCGAGAAGCCGTACAGCTGCCACGTGTGCGGCCGCAGCTTCAGCGACAACTCCAACTTCAAGCGGCACATCCGCAGACACATGAAGGAGAAGTCCCAGCAGAGCTCAGGCTGAGAGAGGCAGCGGTCGCAACCACCACTGAACGGACGCACAAAACCACTTCAGTATTTCTCTAACTGTCCTTTTTTTAATCAAGTCTGTTCTTGGACATTAGAGTGGATTATGTACCTTTTAGCTGCCATTGTTTTTAGTGATGTGCTGCACAATGGTAGCATTGCTGCCTTGCAGGAAGAATGTTTGAATCCCAGCCTGGGTATGCCTTCCACATGCAAAAGACTGTTCGATTGACTGCTCTCTACAAATTCTCCTTCGGTGTGTGCGTGCGTGCGCGTGTGTGTGTGTGGCCCCGCCTATCGTCCAGTGACTGTTGGAGATGGGAAGCAGCCCAGTCATATTTTTGTGAGCTAATTACAGTTTTGTAAAGTTCTGACCTGCTGAAATCCCTGCACCAACTGTGTCATGTTTCATTCAAAATCTAATTTCTTTTCATTTTATTTGGGACTGAATTGTTTCTTATTTTTTATAAGTATTTCTGCCTTAAATCTGTCTTTGGAAAATTACAAAGACATATCGTTCAGGTTTCTGGACGTAGATGTTTGTTTTTGCACTTATAAAACAACTGAAAATGAACTTTTGTCAGACAGATTTTTAGCTTTTTTGGGGGTTTTTTTCATCCTTTTTTACTTGTGCAAGACATAAAAGTGCACTATTACACTGGATGGCTCAGTTTCTACAAGATAATGAGTTACAATAAGTTGAAGTGTCTGAATTAATGTTTGACGATAAAGTTATAGGTGTGAGTTTGAGTGGCGCTGCATGTCAGCAAGATTATACTAATCACAGTGAAGGGGAAAAAGAAACCTTATGGATATGTGAATCACAGGAAATTTAAAAATAGGGGCATTTTAAATTGACTTCTTTAATTGAATAAAAGGTTTACACAGATGATAGAGTTCAAAAGTGTACATGTTTAAATGCTGTGTTTTTGTGACCAAAATAAATATTTCAAAAGTTTTTTTTTCCACCTTTGGTATAACTTTTCTCTTGCACAATTTTACCAGGAGACAAACAGATCAGATTTTATTTTCTTGGAAAGACTAGACCAGAAACCGAACCAGAGTCTTGACTTTAAGCCCGTTATGAATCTCTGATGTTCTGGAGAAGGCGTTTGAACTTTTACCTCATCAATAAAAAATCTTGAACAAATGAAGCCAGCATTGGATGAAAATAAATTTTGTGACGTTACAGAAGCTTATTGAAACAGTGAATGGTTGTAATCACAGATGAAATAGTTTATCGTTTTTTTGGACAGTGTGTGTGTGTGTGTATATATATATATATATACACACACTTTTGTTCTCAGCTCCTCACTGGTGGCTTTGAACAATGAGATCCTATTGATCTTTTGTAACCTGTGGCTTCAGCTAAAGGATACGGATGAGGAAATGTCAGGAAACTCACAGGACAGCTTAGCTTGACCTACTTTTAAGCTTTCAAGTTCGTTCTTTTCAACAAAGTTTTACCTGTGCCACACCAAAAGTGGAAAAAGTTTTGAAATTATTTATTATAGGTATATTATTCGTAAAAAAAAGTGATGACTGTTAGCCACTCTAACTCAAATTTGACACAAAAGCTAAATGTACAATAAACATGGTTATTTTCTGTTGAACTATTTAGAAAAATTCCTTTCAGATGTTAGAGCGATTATAATATGATGTGTAATATATTATATATTAGATTATATCAATACATTGATACTATGGCTTGACCACTCTGAATCTTTACCATTCAAATACAAATAACGTCCTAAACCAGCAGATGGCAGCATCGCACTTTGGTGTGGCTGAGCAATAGTTTTCATAAAATAGTCTAGAATCAGAACTGAGATTATGAATTTTTTTTTACCAAATCTAGGTGAGATTTAAACAAACAGATTAAAATCTCTGAAACATGTTCACTCTCCGTGAAACAAAAATGCCACAATCAGTTCTCATTTCTCATAAATCATCACTGAACTGTGAAACTGTTTATGATTTATTTGTGGAACAGAACTCGAAATTATCCACACTCGCAATCAGTTGGATGACATCTGTGCTGGTTTGTGGAGCAAAAATGTTTGTGCCATTATAGTTTTAAGATAAAAAGGAAAAAAAAAAGTGCTGTTTTTGCAGGTAAAAATATTGGGAGCACAATTAATTGACACCTGGTTGACCTTTGATGACCTCTGGAAACATTTATTAATATCCTTAAAATTATAATGACACAAACCAGTACAGATGTTTGACATCGATTAAGTTTGATTTGAAGAAGGTGTGGAAGTTAACAGGTGCAGCTGATGCGACAGTCTGGCTTCAGTTTGTGTTTCTTCTTCGGTGGATTAGATTACAATAAATGTTCCCAAATTATTTAAAAAGATGTAGCCTACTGTAACGTAACTACTTTTCTGTCAGGCTCTCTCTGCCTTCAATATATGTGGTGACACTATTTTATCTAAAGCAGCATAAAACAGGTTTAAAAGTCTAAGGTCAAAGGGTTGCAGCAGTTCAATAAACCGTTTCGATGGAAATAAGGAATTTTAGATATTTTCCCGTAGCTTGATGGAGTTATGTACTGGATTCTAAAGTTATTAATGACATTCAACAATATTATCACATCACATGTTTTCACATCATGTAGCTTCAAATAAGACAAAGCAAAATACACAAAACTAGGACATCTTCAAGTACCAACTGTGCATCTTGCTGTGACCTGCAAAACAATCGCATCATTTTCCACAACTACCAAGAATGAGCGACAGGCAGAGAGATGACTCCAGCTGAACAGTCGGCTCCATCATGACTGCTTATAAATGTGATTTAAAGTAGGTTTTACCGACTGAGGCGAGCTGAAGCGAATGTAGCATCCAATTCTCTTCTGTTCTTGTGTATGAAAATTGTAGATGATTTATTGCATATAACAGTGGATTAGTTATCGTTATGGCTGATCTACTGGCATGTCGCAGAAATGAGTTGGCATCACAAAATACAGCATTCACATTTAGAACCGACTCTTTCAAAAATAATAAAGTTAAAGTGTCGTTCTCCTGTGGTCCACTTGGTGATGCTGTGAGAGCATCTTCAGTTGTGGAAAAGCTACGACGTTCCTCTCCTCCACCTCCCTCCCTCGGCGAATCGTTGCACGTTTAGAGGACGGGAACTAAGAACCTCCAAATAAACACATTTATATTCAGGGATAAAAGTGCATCACCATATAAAACAAAATCATTCTTCTGTTGAGTGTGAGAGCGCCTTGTCTAAAAGTTTGGAAGTCTGAATGTGTTTCTTTATTTCAGATGAAAGGTCCTATTTTTTTGTTTTTACCGTTATTTTTTGTTGGTATGTATGCAAACTACCGTTGTACTTTTCACCACTTTTAGATTAAATCATCCTGCGATTTTGAGTGAAATATCTCACCTGACATTTCTGTTTATGCTCGTTTCCTTTAGCTTGCTGGCTGTCTGCATTCGCCGCTTGTCGTGACGCTGAAGCAGCCGTACCGCAGAGAGGATCCCTTTGAGACAATTTAAAGAAGCACTCTGGCATTTTTCCTAATTGGTACCCATTAATTCAAAGTCACTTTGCATCTACACAAATACATTCTGGTTTCTAACCCTAAATGTTTGAGAAAGGTGGCAAACTGAGGCTTGGTAACCAGCAATTCAGTTTTATTTACTGCTTTTCCTATGGTCTTTTTCTAGGACTGCTCTAACCCCATACTGAGCATCCAAATCCTAATTCAAGAAATTCCAATAATTGATCTTGGAGTAGCTTGACTAAACCATATTTCCATGTGCACAGACACAAAAGCACTATAGGCTGTGGCCATTAGTTTGCTGACCAAATAAATCTGGGTTTTCTTTAACAATCTCATGTTTTTATCATTAGATTGAAAGAGAACGTACTGGCTGCTTCACCTTACTGTGAATATCTGAGCTATTTTCCACATTCTTCTCAGAAAGCTTTCTGCAACAGAGAGCAAACGAAACACAAGCTACTAAATATTGTGATGATTAAAACAAAGGTTTAACTTTATGAAGCAAATTATTTTTTTTCTGGAAGTTTTGTCAACAGAAACTCAAAATGGTGAGTAAAACATGTCAGCATCAGCTTAGCACATGCAAACGTGGTTAGCTGGAGCAGGATGGGAGTTTATAGAAGATCATAGCTCTTTATGCTGAGTCAGAAATATCTGTGAAAAGATAAGGCTAATAACTGTTGAGACAAAGTATGCAATGCTATAAAAAGTAATACTGTTGTGTGATTGGTGACTGAGTTATTGGGACAAATACATATTCCAAAATTACTCTATATAAATGACAAAAACATTTCTAGTAGAAGTTAATACACCGACTGAATTGGTTGTAATAAAATGTTCTTTAATGTGCACCAAAAAAAGGCCGACCCGTAAACACCTGTTTGTGATCAAACTCGGCCTCTGATGAAGATCTTCTCTCTGTTATGTTGTTTCCTGTCTTGTAGGCAGTAAAAATACATCCATCAACCACTAACAGCAGGAGATCAGAGTCTGTTGTCATGCGAGCAGGACTTGTTCATTTAAACTTTGTTTCCTGCAGACTCCCTCCTTCCAGGCACCAGAACAACAAAGATGTCTCATAACTACTGGGGTTCAGGTCAGACAAAGGAGGCCGATGTAACCCCCTCACACACTGAGGCACATAAATCCACTCTTTAAGTAGAAGCCACTGCTTTACTTTCTTTTATAGAATCCAAACAGTGCCTCATTCTGGTTCACTTGCTAATTACAACTTTTAGGACGTGAAATTGTTTAACGTCAGCTCCTTCACAGTCAGGAGTCAGCTCCCTCACACTAGACAGTGTTGCGCTGGCGGACTGTGTTGCATCATTTGGTGCAGAGCCTGTTCAGCCTAACTGTAGCAGACAGGGATACCTCATTAACAGTACTGCATCGTTGCCGCTGTGTTATTACTTAAGCTGCTCTGGGGGAACTTGTCCAGCCAGCTGAGTGAGTCAGATAAAATGAAAACCGGTGTCAGAATGCTTGGTTCAGTGTTAAAGGTGGGATAAAAAAAAACCCTGTCAAGTCATTGATGCTTAACTGGTGTTTATTCATTTTCATATCTCAAAGCACAAGCTTATTTTCTGTGAGAAATCATGAGCTCTTTTAATTTTTTATGGATTCCAATATTAACATAAATGCAAACATACCGCTTAAAAAGACAACCTTTCTTTCCTACGTCAATTAACTGGACAAGCTGTTTTCTGTTTTAGCTCAGTTATAATTACAAAACTTAATTTTAATTAACAAATGCAATGTCTGGCCATCATACTGTGCAGGAAGGAGTCGGGTTTTACGTCCCCGAGATAAATGGGTTGTATGTGCACATCAAGTCCAGAGCAAATTCAGCTGGCATGTTGATGCCGAGTTACATTATCCACTTCTGGAGACGTCTCCTGTGGTCTGATGAAACTAAAGTTGATGCATGTAAAAAGGGGGAAGACCATCATAACCCTGGAGTATGGTGGATGTAGCATTACTGTGTGTTTTGCCTGATTGGTGAACTCACAGGACGATGGTGGCAGGACTTTGTCCCTCAATCGGCAGGTTGTTGGTTCGATCCCCGCTCCAGTCGTTTACCATTAGAGAGAGTATCATAAGGACAGAGCACTATAAAAGAATTGAAGCAACATCTCCAAGACTTGAGACCGTTTAAATGGACAACGAGTCCAAGAATACAACATGAAGTAAAGAGTTTCAGAATGACAAACTCAGTGGTTCCAGCCATACTTACTTATCTGTGCCGGGTTGTTGGGTTTATGCTGCTGCCGGACTTTTTTTCCTCCAAATTTTCTGAACATAAACTCAAAACATGGAGACATTACAGGGGGAACAATGTAGAGTTTCAATTCACCTCACACAATTAAAGCATAGTCAACTGTTTTATTACCTTTATGTAATCATTCTAGGCCAAAAGCATCAACAAAAGAAATGAACACA